GTTCAGTACGATGTTAGCTGTGGGTTTGCCATAATGACTTCTTTAATATTCAGGCTTGTTCCTTCTATACCTAGTTTGTTGAGTGGTTTTGTTTTTTTTTTTATCATGAAGGGATATTGAAGTGTATCAAATGTTTTTTCTGCATCTATTGAGATAATATATTTTTTTGTCTGTCTGTTGATGTTATGTACCACATTTATTTGCAAATATTGAGTCAACCTCACATCCCTAGGATAAATCCCATTTGATCACTATATGTTATCTTTTTGATGTGCTGTTGGATTCAATTTGCTAGCATTTTGTTGAGGATTTTTGTGTCTAGGTTCATCAGATATTGGCCTGTAGTTTTCCTTTTTGTTGTTGTATCCTTATCTGGTTTTGGTTATCAGAATAATACTAGCTTCATGGACTGCGTTAGGAAGAATGCCTTCCTCTTCAATATTTTGTTTGGATGATCTGTCTAATGTTGAGATTGGGGTGAGGTCTCTAGCTATTATCGTATTGAAGTTTGTCTCTCCTCTTAGATATAATAATAATTGCTTTATAAATCTGACTGCTTCAGTGTTGAGTGCATATATATTTAGAATTGTTATATTATTCTGCTGAATTGATCCTTGTATCATGATTATCTTTTTTGTCTCTTTTTCCTACTTTTGATTTAAAGTCTGTTTTATCTGATATAAGTATAACTACTGCTTTTGCTTTTAGTTTCTTTTTGTGTGGAATTTCATTTTCCATCCCTTTACTTTCAGTCTATATATGCCTTTACAGGTAATTTGAGTTTCTTTTAGTTGGGTCATGTTATTCTTTCAGCAAGTCTGTATCTTTTAAGTAGAAAATTTAATCCATATATTCAAGGTTGCTATTGCTATTGATATGTGAAGACTTATTCCTGTCATCTTGTTCATTGTTTTCTTGTTATTGTATATTTCCTTTGTTCCTTTATCTCTTTTATTATTTATCTTGATAGCTTAGTGGTTTTCAGTAGTTATAACATTTGACCTTTTTTTCTTCCCCATTTGTGTCCTTGCTCTACTAGTTAGTTTTATACTTTCATGTGTTTACATGATGGTAGATGTCATCCTTTCACTTTGTGTTGTAAGACTCCATCAAGTAATTCTTGTAGAAACTGGTCTAGTGGTGATAAACTTCCTGTTTTGTTTTTGTTTTTGTTTGTTTGTTTGTTTTCTTGCCAAGGAAAGTCTTTATTTCTCTTTCGTTTATGAAGTATAATTTTGTTGGGCATAGAATTCTTGACTGACAGTTTCTTTCATCATGTTGAATATGTCATACCTTTCTTTCCTGGCTTATAAAGTTTCTACTGAGAAATCTACTGTTAGTCTGATGGAGATTCACTTCTGATGCTGTTTAAAAAGTTGTCTCTTTGTCTTTGACTTTATATAATTTGACTATAATGTGCTGGGTAGAAGATATTCTGGAGTTGTATCTGTTTTGGAATTTTTGAGCTTTATATGTCTGACTGTCTAAATCTCTTGTGAGATTTGAGATGTTTATCAAATAGATACATTTTGTATGCCATTATACTTTTCCTAACCTTCTGGGATACCCAACATTTGGATAGTCAACTTTATGGTGTCTCTTATGTCCCATAGTCTTTTTGTAATATATTTTTCTTTTTTTGTTCTGACTGGGTTATTTTGAAAGACCTGTCTTTCAGTTCTGAAACTTTTCTTCTAGTTGATCTAGTCTATTGTTGGAGCTCTTGATTTTGTTTTTTATTTCCTTCATTGAACTATTCAGTTCCAGCATTTCAATTTTTTTATGGTATCATCTCTTTCATGAATTTCTCATATCCTGAATTGTTTTTTTGATTGTTTATCTGTGTTCTTTTATATCTCACTTACCTTCTTTCATATTATTTTGAATTATTTTTCAGCTATTTCACAGATTTCTTTTTCGTTAGCATCTGTTATTGGAGAGTTATTGCATTCCTTTGAAGGTGTCATATTTCCTGACTTTTTCATGTTTCTTGTGTCCCTTCTTTGATATCTGAGTATAGGATGTAATAGTTTCTTGTTCTGATTTTTTTTTAATTGACTTTCATAGGTGAAGACTTTTCCTTGTAGGTATACCTATAATGTTGGTTAGAGAGGGCACTTGTTTTCATTCTGGATGTCGGTAGTGTAGTCTCTGTGTAATTTCATTGGCTGTAAACACTGTAAGTGGTGTCTGTGATTTCCTCAGTGGCTTAGGTTGTCGTGGTGAGGTTTTGCTGGAGATGGAATGCCAGGTGGGCCAGTCCTCAGGCCCTAGTGGTAGCAATAGCAAGCCAAGTTCACCTGTCCTTGGGTCCCCAAGCAGCATGTATGGACACTGGTGTTAGCAAACCCAGGCAGGCTAATTCTTGGCCCTTCAAGAAACTTGCTGAGGTTCTGGTTATGGCAGCTCTAGGCCAGATGAGTAGATCAGGCCCCTGTGCAGTGTGTATGGGTGATGATAGGCACAGTGGCAGGAAAACTCTCAGGTTTCTAGGTACCACTTCTCAGTGATAGCAGTGGCTCTGATATGCTGAGCAGACTAGTCCCTAGGCCCCCAGGTAGCATGTCCAGGTGGGTGCCAGCCATGATGAATGGACAGGAGAATCCTTAGGCTTCCCTATGTTGTACTTGGGCACTGGTGGAGGGTTTTCTGGAAATGATGTTAGGGTCTGGTATTGTGCACATGCACCTGGGGCAACCGATGAGCCAAGGTGATCTCCAGACCCCCAGTTAGTATGCTTGGGCACTGGGAGGCAGGATTTATGCTGCTAGGCAGGGTGAGCCTGTTCTTGGGTTCTTCTGCTGGTGTACGTGGGTAAAGGCTGTGGTTGGTAGTGTGGAGCAAGCCCCAGGCTTCTGGAAAGCATGGTAGGGCACTGATAGTGGCAGGTGGTCTAGGGTTGTTATTAACCAATAGGGTAGGACAGTTTCTGAGGCCTCAGGTAAAAATGCTTGGGCCAGGAGTTGGGGAGCAGTTTCAGGCTGGGTGGGTCTGTCCTCAGGTGAACACAGGCTATGGAGTAGAGCAGGGTGATGATCTCCGAGGCCTGGGCAATGTGCCTGGGTGGCATTGGCAGTGGAGGCAGTGGGAGGAGAAAGTCTTTCCTCAATGACATGCAAGTGCAAAGTGTCTCTGTTTCCAGAAAGGGCAGTGTTGCCACCTTTGGTAACTGCTCAGGCAGATAGGTTTTGGGCTCTGGAGGTGCAGTAGCTGTGGTGGTTGATGAGAAGAACTTGTCTTCAGGGCGTGTGCAAGTATGTGGCAGCCTTGGTGCTGGTGGACAAAAGCATAGTGCAGCAGGATAGCTGTAATTGATAGCAGTCCCATGAAAGAGCTGGTTCCAGATTCTAGGGAGTATACACTTTGACTCCTTTTGTCCCTTCAGTAGCGTTCTTGGTATACTACACTGTTCTTTTCCTTCTGGTGTGCAGAAGGGCACTATGGCCTAGAGTGCTATGGACCCTATTGGTCTGCAGAATACAACTGGCACTACACTGCTGCATCATGACACAGAAGGATGTCAGTGGGACTCCAGAGATGTGTAGATGTAAGGTCTGTTAGGCACTGGGGCTGGATGCCATCTGGTGTTGGGCTATCAAAATGGTGCCATGCTGCTTAGGACTTAGGGGTTGTGTGGCACACAGCGTGACATCTCTTATTGGAGCAATGCCATATGGTGGACTTCAGAGAGCTTCCTATTCTAGTCTCAGAACCCATAGGAGCCAAGAGACTCTCCTGTGGCTGGGATTACCAGAGTCTGTGGTAAGAATATGGACTGCTAGGGATCTCTCACTTACCCTTTCCCTGCACTGAGGATCCTCTTTCGGTTCCTGCTGGGCTATCTACCTCTCCTTCTGTGCCCTGGGTGCTTCCTCTCATTTCTCTACTGAATTCCAGTGTTGTCTCTTTGATGTTTTATTCAAAGTGTGATTATCTACTCACTATTTGAGTTCTTCTTTTTGCAGGAGTTAGGTGTCATGTGCCTCCAGTCAGCCATCTTGAAATATCCCCCAATTTTTTGATTATGTCAGTCAGGAGAATAAATCTGGTTATTTTTATTTCTTTATGGCTAGATGGAAATCCTGAAACTTATTCTTCACCCAGCAGTCAGACTCATATTCTCCAAGGCAAAAAACAAGTTTCTTTTACTTTTGTACATTAAGCATTTATTTCAATGATTTCGTACTGCTCTTTTCAAAAACAAGGCTCTGCATAATCTGGGCCCTTGTTGGCTTTATTATACACATTCGTATCTATATTACTCTTCCTTAGGAACATCATCATTGTTTTTACATCCATGTTAGGTTGAAAAATATGTATTGGCTGAGGTGAGTGGATTGCCTGAGCCTGCGGGTTCGAGACCTGCCTGGGCAACTTGGCGAGACCTAATCTCTACAATAAATCAAAAAATCAGCCGGGCATGGTAGCGTGTGCCTGTAATTCCAGCTACTCAGAAGGCTGAGGCGGAAGGATCTCTGAAGCCCAGTGGGTTGAAGCTGCAGTGGCCGGGAGAGGCCACTGCACTCCAGTCTGGGCGACAGAATGAGACTCCAACTCAAAAAAAACAAAAATGAAAAATACTTATTGTAATGTACTCATAACTATTGGATGTTTTAGCATTGGGATAGCTTTTCTCTGCACAATCTTCAAGATATCTTTCTCTGATTATGTGGAGCAGCAGTGACATACAGTGGTTATCTAGGTTATTTGCTAGATTTTATTACAGAAGACATACTATTGGTTGGTCGTTCTTTGTTTTGATCATTGAACCATACACTAATTTTTCATATTGAAATACAAAACTGAGTGGAGATTATTTCATACTCAATAAGTCATTGGAAGAGCACATTGGATTCCCACACAAGGAAATATTGTTTATTTAAATATAAAAAATAACATAGGAGCTACTTATTATGTTCTCAAGAATTTAACTTTAAAATAAATGTTTCTTAATAATGATCTGTGCATTTCTTCCTAAATAAGTTTTGTTTGTCCCAAAGTCTAGGAAATAGGAATTTCCTTACTGAAAGACCTACTATAATTATGGATGAAGATTGTGGAAACATGGATGAAAAAAGACAGTCAGACTTCATTACTGGAAAAGAATCAGTACAATATATTTGGGGAGAAAATGGAAAAGAAGTTTCACATTTTCTTGAAGGTATGAATTCTAGCAGAGAATTATGAGTCTTTTGTTTGTCAAAATATGATCAACTTATTTAGACTATATCAGCAAAGGATTTTAAAAAAACATTGACAAGTGTGGTTATGATAGTATGGGAGGTATTTTTAGAGTCACTAATTCTATAAAAACCATTCTACTGATGGGTGGATTTGAAACACTTTTATAGTTCCAGAATAGACTTTTAGTAATTCAGCTTTTACAAGTTATTCAGAAAAATGTCAGGCAAACAAGGAATATCAGAAAGAGTACAATAAAACTGAAAGAAGTAATCTTAATTCATCTTTGAATAGAGTCATTACCTATCTAGCTCTGAAAAAAAGATTTGGTTGATGTTGTACATAGACAATGTAATAACCTATTTTTTCTTTCAGTTTTAGTATGTATACTTGTATTTGTGTGTGTGTGTGTGTGTGTGTGTGTACGTACACACATACGAGGGAGGACTCCCCAAAAATCAGAATGATCTTTTGGAGGGTGGACCCTTTGTAGTACACTCAGAATTCGTTCCTCCGGATCCAATGGTCAACCAATTTTTTTATCTGGAAATTTTGAGACGGTTGTATCATGATTTGCAGAAGAAATGTTCCAAGTTGTGGAAACAAGTGGCTGGTTCTTCCACCATGACAACACACCTGCCCACACTGCACTGAGTGTCCAGCAGTTTTTAACCCAAAACAGCATAAACCCCATGCCCTACCCAATCTTTTTTTGTGACTTTTTTGTTTCTCTGGATAAAAAATGTCCTCAAAAGGGAATGTTTTACTGATATGGTAGAGGTGAAGCAAAAAATGACAGAAGTACTAAAAGGCATCAAAATTGACAAGTTCAAAAACTGGTTTGAGCAATGGGAAAAGCGTCTCAAAAAGCATATTGTATCAAACAAAGAGTACTTTGAAAGTGACTGAAGTCTAAATATATAAGAGTAAATACACAATTTTTTTACAAATCGATTCTATTTCTTGAGCGGTTCCCCCTGCTGTGTGTGTGTTTATATGATGGAATACTAATGTATTTTGAATTAAAAAATGAAAATAGACTATGCTAAATTTTTAACTCAATGTGTACTTTTATTTTTGAAGGAAAACTTGAAAATGATTACCAAGAGAAGACGCTACAGAAGAATATCCAGAAATATCCAGTAAACTCTATGTAAGTTTTTTGGTAAATCTGGGGAAACAGATCAGGAGTTAATATAATGCATGTTGAAGGTTGAATTGTAGTAAAGTGAAGTAGACATACTGCTGTCTGAGGGAGGGCAGCCTAGTCTCAAAGAAACCTTACTAGTTGTCACAATCTTGGCAGTGTCATCCTGGTTGAAAGGTTGGTGCTCATTTGCTAGCCTCAGTTTACCATCTTATCTGAATATTAATGTTGATTAGATTTGAGGAAATTGACTTAATGTGTTCAAGAAACTCATATACCCACCAGAATATCAATTTCTTAATTTAAAGAGATAGGTCACATGTATAGAAGTGCTTACTGGCATGAAAAAGCACATTTTCTTTCAGGCAGCTCTCTATGGGAAAGTTGGTTAGTATAGAATCACTAATAGGGAATACTGTAATTCAAATGTTAATGGCATAAGCAAGCACATCAGCAGTTTATAGGACAGTGTATATTCTAGGGTTAGAGCATTCTCTTCATTACCAACATTTACTTCTTATTGAGTCCCTGTTTTCTCTGTGTTCAAGATTACCATCTTTTGCACCCATATATTGTTTTTCTGTGTGAAAACATTTAGATTCCTCCAGACTTTGCTTTTTCTTCTTGCTGCTGGTATACAAACTGTATGTAAGGTGATTTTTAAACTTATTTGTTATGGGTTGAGATTTAATTTATCCCTTAGAGTTTGGGAGCTGCCTTCCAGGCTCTTCTGTATAATGACCTGAATTATGAGTAACTAAATAAAACTTTATTGTAGCTAGGAGTTTCTGAGTCCTAACATTCTTGATAATAATTGTAATTTAACCAAATCTTTGTGATTAGAAATCATAAACTGTAATAGATTTTTATTTTAGAAGTGATTACTTAAGGAAATGTTGAAATATCTATTGATAAAATGAATACATGCATTTTTATGGGATTGGTTCATACAAGTTAATTAAAGCATAGACTTACAACTGATTTCACAAAATTAACATATTAAGTTTTTTGTTGTTAAATCTTCAGATATCTAGAAACTTTTGAGTTGAAAAACATCATGTTAGGCCTTGAATTGTAAAATGTATTTTATATTAGTGATTTAGAAAATGGTTCCAAACTTGGCTGTAAATCCAAATTACCTGAGCAAGTGATTTCAAATCACAGAACATCAAGATTGACCTACACATAATAAGTAGACTCCTTGACATGGAGCTTATGAATCTTTATTTTTTAAAAAGCTTTCCAGATAATTCTGATCTTAAGCCAAGTTTAGAAAATGTAATTTAGAACAATAATTTTCAGAGGGAATAAAACAAACCTTAATACTATCTTATTTATAACCTTTAGGGGTAACATCCCTTTGGAAGAATTGCATTGTAAGCAATCATGGGACTTTGGACTCGGTAAGGTGAAGTACATTCTCACATTGTCTTTCCAATTAAGGCAGTTTGTATTATCATATTTTAATATTTATAATTTACTTTGATTTAAGGTGAACATTTCAGAATATTTTTAGGTGGACTTATTTCTTATATTTTCTTATTCTAGGGAAATTATAGCTTAGATCTAGAAATAAAAACACCTTTTCAGAAACTGTAATGTAGTTTGAGACAGACTAGTCCTGAGGATATTTTAAATACTTTCTGTAAGTATTGTAAAATTCCTTCCAAGATGAAAATGCTTTAGGCTTCAGTGTTTTACTGATGAACAAAATTACATATCCACCACGCTATAGAAATGTTTATAAACATTGGTTATTTAATGTTATAATCCCTTCCCATAATAAGAATGCAATTTTTATAACAGTGCCAGGAACATTATGTACTTTGTCTCTAATCCACAAGAGTCTGATCCTTTAAAGTCTTCACAGCAAAAGAGACTGAAATTTAGAGAGATTAATTAACTTGTTCAAGGTCACACTCTCAAGCCAGGATTCAAACTACTATCTCATCTGATTCAATATTTTCAACGATACCATTTTCTCTTTTTTCTTCAGCAAATATGCACCAAGTACGTATTATGAATTCATTAACAGACACTTACTGAGTGTCTCATATATGCTAGACGGGATAAAATGGTGAAAAAACAAAATCTTTGTTCTCAAGGTTACATTCTGTTATTCACTAGACTTTACAACTAACAGAGATGAAAGGACATGGAACCTGTCTTTAAGACGCTTTCATCCAGTAACTAGTCAGAAACAGGAAAAGTCTAATGCATTTAGATAAATTTCTCCAATTGAAGTTAGTACAAAGGGTAGAAGAGAATAGTAAAAGACACTTTTAACTTTCATGTGTAGTCAGGAGAAAAATGTAATAGATGAGGTAACTTTTGTGCACAGTATCAACTGATAATCAACTAAGTTTACCAAATGGTGGACTATCTGGGAAAAAGGAGTAACAGATAGAAACTAAGATGTGATTGTATAACTTGTTTTAGAAATTTAAGTACCTTGTTTCTTTCTAGTTACTGTTATAGCTACTACTTACAGTATTAGCATAAAGACTGCAGGAGTGACAAGAGGTAATTCTGGACAATGTGAAAGGTCAGGTCATAAATAACCTTTATGATAGATATATAACAGTTTAATTTCATATCACCAAACAGAGCACTACTGAAAAAGTTTTAGCAGAGGAGTATGATGACATCAATATTAAAAAATTGACTGTAAGCCGGGCTCGGTGGCTCAGCCTGTAATCCCACGCTTTAGGAGGCTGAGGTGAGTGGATTGCCTGAGCCCGCGGGTTGGAGACCCGCCTGGGCAACTTGGCGAGACCTCATCTCTACAATAAATCAAAAACTAGCCGGGCATGGTAGCGCACGCCTGTAGTTCCAGCTACTTGGAAGGCTGAGACGGAAGGATCACTGAAGTCCAGCAGGTCGAGGCTGTGGTGGCCAGGAGCAGCCACTGCCCTCCAGTCTGGGTGACAGAGTGAGACTCCAACTCAAAAAAAAAAAAAAAAAAAGTTGACTGTGGCAATAATGAGGAGGGATTTGAGAGGTGAAAAAAACTCAAGGCAAGGTAAAACGTAACAAGGGCTTTTGAAGTTGGATGGTGACAGTAAAGATGAAAATGAGGGCAAAGAAGACTTAGACATAGACTTGATAGGACTTGGTGATTAGTTAAGGGAGAAGGAAGAAATTGAGGAAGACCTGGATTTAGATTTGGTTAACTGGGTAGTTGATGGGATGGTGCCATTGATCAGCAATGAAAACACAGAAGCAGGTGTAAAATTATTTAATTTTAAAGCAGTGATAGAAGTTTAAGGTTTAAATATGATTGTTATTTTTAACAATAATATTAAATATTGTTAAATAATATGGTAATCACTAGAGTAATGGAGACTTATGGAAGAACTTCAAAATTCAAAGTAGTAATGATATCATACTGGGAAACCAGGTCAAGGTGGGGAAAAATGAAATAGCAGTTCTCTATAAAGTGTAAGGAATGAAACTTGCTTAGTAATAAGTAGTGTATTTAATATGAAGGGGTTGATTTTCAAGATTCAAAGAATATCAAATTTTGAAGAAGAATTCCATATATTTTATAAGAAACTTGTCTAGAATATAATAAAGGTTGGTAATCAAAATACATAAAAAGATACACATTGTGTGTGTGTATATATATATATATATATATATATATATAAAACATTCTTGCAAAGACAGTATAAATGCAAGAAAAGAGAAGAATAGGCGATACAGAGTTACTGATCCATACCAACTATAAAATCCTGCTGGGCGCGCATGGTGAGGCTTAGTGTCCTGGAGGATGGGGGAAGTTTTGTGAATAATTTTGTTTCTTCTCTTTGGATAGGATCTTCTTTGATGTCCTTCATGAACACATCTGAAGTAAGTGTTGGAACACATGCCTGCCTTGGGGTTGTATAACTTTTGTCATCTATTTAAGTTTTGTGATCTTGGTACAAGTTTGGAGCTTGAATGTGTAAAGAGTTGAACAGAAAAGACTTTTAAATGATAAGTAGTGAGGTTAGGGAAGTGACTCTCTACTCCATATAGTTATTCAGGGCCCCAAACTGATGAGGACTTTGCTGCCTTCAATTGGTGACTTCTATCTTTGTAGAGTATACTGATATCAGATAGTAGAAGGGACAGGGAACTGGAGAAGATTTTTATGGGCCAGGACTAGCAGTAGTTTATATTACTTCTGCCCATAACTGGAACTTAAGTCATATGTCCCAACCAATTCCAAAGGTGGCTAAGAAATGTAATCTAACTGTATGTCCAAAAAGGAAAGGGGATCAGATTTGACAAATAGCTAGACAGTTTCTCCTTTATCTTATCTATTTAAAACTCTATATCCTACCAATAGAGAATATCCAGTAAATATTTTCTATAAGTTCACAGTATATTTGCAAACATAAATCATATAGTAAGCCATAAAGAAAACCTAAGAAATTTATGAATGGAAAGATTCATTGTCACATTTTCTAATAAAAACTTAATAAAGTTTGAAATCAACCAAAAAGAGATTCTTAACCTCATTAACTTTCTAAAAATTGAGAAACATACTGAATTTTTTTTAAAAGAAGGGAAATGAAAATAAAATACAGATCAAATTGGAAGTGATGTGTTCTAATGTGTCCAATGGTGTGTTCTATAGATTACACCTCTAAGAGCGTTTATTTTAAATAATAAACATGAAAATAAATTACTGATATACAATTTAAGAGATTAGAAAAAACAAACAAAAAACAGGACACCCCTCCCAATTGCCTTATTTTTGACTGTCCTTTTTGTCAGTAATTCATTTCTTGGCAAGTATCTGTTCTGTTGCTTGCTGTTTTTAAACTAATTTAAATTTCATTTTATTGTTCACCACAGGCTAATTTTTGTTTGTGGTTTTAAAATCCTCTGTGTTGGCCGGGCTCGGTGGCTCAGCCTCTAATCCCAGCACTTTAGAAGGCCGAGGTGAGTGGATTGCCTGAGCCCGCAGATTCGAGACCAGCCTGGGCAACCTGGCAAGACCTCGTCTCTACAATAAAATTAAAAATAGCTTGGCATGGTAGTGTGCATCTACAGTTCGGGCTACTTGACGCTGGGGTGGCAGTGAGCATGAGTACCACTGTACTTCAGCCTGGGTTTAGGAGTGAGACTCCAAGTCAAAAACAAAGCAAAACAAAACAAAAATAAAATCCTCTGTGTTGAACTAAAGCAGTGTAAATGAAAAGTACTGTAAAATGAATTGGTGGTGTGGATAGGGTAGATGTAAATGAATATTATTGCATATACTTGGAAATTATTAAAAGTTTTGTTTTCTTCTAGATTTTGATGAAAGAAGAAGGAACATGTTCTTTAAAAGGCAGGCCATCTACTAAGACAATTTGTCAATTTAAGTGAATTTTGCTGTGTACTTAAAGCAATTAAATAGAAATCAGCTAAATTTTAAGTGATTTTTTTAGACGTTTGCTACAAATATGTATTTCATAGATATTTTAGAATATACTAGTAATACAGCAGACTTTTAAAAATTACTTTTATATTTCATAAAATATGTGTTGAGTATGTTTAATGTATATTTACAGTTTAGCAAATAATAAAACAGAGAACCCTTGTATTCGCTATGTAGCTTAAATAATACATATGCTTTAATGCTTTCCTCAATTGCATTTCCTATCCTGCCCTCTAGAGGTAACTGTTATCCTGAATTTGTTTTTTGTTGCTTTCACACAGACTTTAACATTGCTTGATTTTGAACTTTTTGCATATTGAAGTCAATGGTATATGTTTTTCTGCAACTTGCTTTATTAACCCAGTATTATATTTGAACTTACTCTCCTCTGATACTTGTGGATCTAGTACATTTTATGATTTTTTTACTACTGTAAAGCATTTTCTTATGAATGTAACAGTTTATTTATGCATCTTCTGGCAGTGGATATTTTGGTTGTTTTCAATATTTTGCTTTGATAAACAATGCTCTTTGGTCAATCTTGATGTTTCTCCTGGCACTCATGCATAAATATTTCCTTTAGCATATATTTCTAGGAGTAAAATTGCTAGCTCATATGATATGCACACCTTCCCCTCTTAAAAATAATGCAAAATTATTTTTCAAAGTGGTTACTTAAAGTTCACTAGTAAGGAATAAGAGGCATAATTGTTTACAAGTTCTCACCAACAGTATGTCAATGTTTTATCATTTTTGGTAATCTGATATTTCATTGTAGTTTTAATTCATATTTCCCTGATTACTAATGGGGTTAACTGACCATTCATGTTTCAACTGTGAAATGCTCTTCAATGCTGTTTGCCCATGTTTCCATTTGAAGTTTGGTTTACTTTCTGAGATGTGTCTTTTATATGTCTGTGCTTTATCTCCTTTGTATCTTTTGTGTATCCTGGATACTAATTGCCATAGGCTTGTTTATAGCAAATATTTCATATTTTGAGTGCTTTTAAAAAAGTCTACACTGTCTTTCTGTAGACAAAAGCTTTGTATAGATCTGACACATTTTAGGTATCCTGTGCCAGGTTAGATTTCATATAATCTTGTCTATTAGAACACCCAGAAACTTGTTTCTTTGTTTAATTTTTTGAATTTATAAGGCACTAGTCTGGTTTCTATTAGTTTTTAAAAAATAAAACCTAAAAATACACAAACAAAAAATACACAAGAATTTGTGAAGTTACCTCACTTATATACTAACTTTTCCTATATCCCTGATCTGTTTTGGGACTTTCTTAGTGCTTTATTGGTCTTTCCTAATCTTCATGTGCCAGTACCACACTCTTTATATTATGATTGTTTTATAGTATATTTAATTTCTTGAGGTGGTGTATACCTCTTTGCTCTTTTTAAAAAGTTGTTTTCTGGCTATTCTTGCGTATTTTTTATATAAACTTTAAAATCAACTTGCCTAACTCCAAAATAAAAGTTTTAATTTTATTAGGGATCATTTAAATGTATATAATAATTTAGTGTGAATTGTTATCCTAAAGATGTTGAGCAGTCTTACTTAAGAACAAAGGATATCTTTTCATTAATTTAATTTAATTTTTTTGGGTTGGAGTCTCACTCTGTCACCCAGACTGGAGTGCAGTGGCAAGCTCCTAGCCACCGCAGCCTCGACCATCTGGGCTCTGGCGATCTTTCCACCTCTGCCTTCCAAGTAGCTGGAACTACAGGTGCACGCTACCACGCCTGGCTAATTTTTTGATTTATTGTAGAGATGAGGTCTCGCCAAGTTGCTCAGGCGGGTTTTGAACCCTCAGGCTCAGGCAATCCACTCACCTCGGCCTCCCGAAGCACTGGGATTACAGGCTGAGCCACTGAGCCCGGCCTCTTTTCATTAATTTATTCTACTTTTTTTACATTGAGTAGTTGCTTAAAATACCTTTAAGTACTTTCCTTAAGTTTTCCTCAAATAGATTCTGCATGTTTCTTGTTAGATTTATCCATAGTATTTTTAATTTTATGCTACATTAGAGTGAATATACACTCCATGTTTCTATTTTAAGTAAGATTCTGAATATTGGACTTAAGTTCATTTGTGTTCATTGATTTACCAAGAGTTTTTTTGTAAAGTGAATCAGTGGTTTTGGGGTGAGTGCTTCTAAGCATTTATGGGAATAACTATTCATTTTTATTCATCTTATTTTATTATTATGGCCAAAATGCACATCATAAAATTTATCCTCTCAGCATTTTCAGGTGTGGCATACTGTATCGTCAGTCACATGCACGTTGTTGTACAGCAGTTCCCCCGACCACCCTCCATCCTGCCTCTACACCTGCCAAACAACAATTTCCTGCCTCCCACTCTCCCCAGCCCCATCAATCACCATTTTACTTTCTGTTTCTATGTTCCATTTTTTATGTAAGTAGAATTATGTAATATTTGTCTTTTTGTAACTGATTTCTTTCACTTAGTATAATGTCCTTAAGGTTCATCCACATTGCAGCTTAAACAAGATTTCCTTCTTTTTTTTTTTTTTTTGAGTTGGAGTCTCACTCTGTCGCCCAGACTGGAGTGCAGTGGCCGCTCCTGGCCGCTGCAACCTCGACCTGCTGGGCTCTGGTGAGCCTTCCACCTCAGCCTTCCAAGTAGCTGGAACTACAGGTGCACACTACCATGCCCAGCTAATTTTTGATTTACTGTAGAGATGAGGTCTCGCCAAGTTGCCCAGGCGGGTCTCGAACCCGCGGGCTCAGGCAATCCACTCACCTCAGCCTCCCAAAGGCACGGGATTACAGGCTGAGCCACCGAGCCCGGCTGATTTCCTTCTTTTTTAATGCTGAATATATTCCATTGTATGCATATACTACATTTTCTTCATTCATTCATTAGTGGACATTAGGTTGCTTCTACCTCTTGGCTGTTATGAATAACGCTGCGGTGAAAATAAGTATGCAAATATCTCTTGTGGATCCTGGTTTCAGTTATTTTGGATTTTTACCCAGAAATGATATAGCTTGATTTTATGGTAGTTCTATTTTTAATTGTTTGAGGTACCTTTGTACTGTTTTTCATACTGACTGCACCATTATAGTCCCACTGACAGTTTAAAAGGATTCCAGTTTTTCTGCATTTGTTTTCTTTGTTTTTGGTAGTGGCCACTCTAACAGAAGTGAAATGATACCTATTTGAATATACATCTTTTTAAAAAGTGAATTTTACTAATGGGTTTTGTGATTCAGAGCATCTTAGTATTCCTATAATAAATCCCACCAAGTCATGATTTATTATGATTCTCTTTGCTATTCTTTTTTATTCCATTCTTTAAAAAATCTTTAATACTTATTTTTGCATTGATTTTTATAAATGGGATTTTTCTGTAGAGAAGTGTGTATGTGTGCAGTCTTTATAAATTTTGGTATTGATGTCAAAACAGATTCACAAAATTTTTTAAATGGACTTACATGTCCATTGAGGCTATTTGAAAGCTTTCTTGAAATTCAAGTTTCTTGCCTCTTCTCCAGCCCCATTTCACTGCTTTATTGCAGATCCTCAGCACTTCATAGCCAGATTACTCAGTTAATCTTTCAACTGACTTGATTTCATTCAGTCTCACTTTTTAATCCATGCCTTAGTAGACAATCTAATATTCAGTGTTCTTTAAAATTTAAGAATAATTTGTACATTATCCTCCTTATATCTCATATGCTAGTTTTTCATCTTGTCTCTGAAAATTATTTATTCATCATTCAAAACCTACCCTCTATACTTGTGTTTTCATTATAAATCTTTACCAAATCTCTCTTTTCCTAGATCTCATTACATTTAGTTCCCCACTGCTTTTGTACCTTGTATGACTTCTATTGTTACATCTTATTTTATGACTTTAAAAAATATTTATGTCTTTCTTCACTACAAGATTCTGAACATTTTGAGAGGTGTGGCTATGTGTCCCCATGCCTTACATGAAGTAGTTACTCAATAGTGTTGAATTGAATTTATATTTTCATTGGTTTATCCTATCCTGCAGTGTTGAAGGTGAGGAATTTATTCAACAGTTTTCTTCCCTATTGATGACTGTGAGCTTACAGTTCCTGTGGACTCAGTGAACCTTGTTTGGGTGAAATGCCCTTAGATTATGGTGTTAGTAATAATCACCTACCCTTCACCTTCCTTCACCTTTTTGTGCTCTGCTTTCTGTTGTCAGAGAGAACCTGCTTTGTGTGGGAGTACAAATTTCCTTCTAGAATGATGAAATAAGGGTATCAGAGATTAGCTAATTTCTTTCTGTTTCTCAGATGATTGAAGTTAGATTCTGTTGCAGAAGGCATCAATCCTGATCTGAGGCATGAATAGATATTACTCATGATTGTTGTATATAGAAGGGCATGGAATTTGGTATGTGCTGTTGCTCCACATTCTGTAGCCTTTTGCTTTTCTTTATGGTAGACCCATTTTCATTAACAAAACAGGAGTGGTTGAAGCTTTTGTTGTTCCTTAGTGTAAAACTTTACTTTCATACTTGCAAACATAAGATAAAAATATTACGCAGATAATGAAAAAGTATCAAATTTGATGTTTTGAATAGGTTTTTTTGTAATGCAATTTTGATTGCACAGTAAAGTTTCATTTATTAGATTAGCAAATGTATGCTGTCTTGGGACTTAATAAACTTGGTTTATTCCTCCTTCCTTCAGGTTGATACTTTAAATTATTTGTTCATTAAAAAATGATTCATATACTAGAAAAATCAATCCAATTTCCTCAATTCTACTTTCTTCATTTATGTATTCTTATTTACTTGTAGATACAAATCTTTTAAGGATAGAATAAACTCATACACTCCATCAGAATTGCAAGTGCCAAGTATCCAAAGTTTTAACGAATTTTGGCATATTTTAGGGGGTTTTGTGTATATTAACTAAAAATATTTTATCAGCAGATATCTTCTGTCTTTGTATATTTTGTAGATATTAATTAATACCATTATTCATGTAGTAAACATTTATTTTCAGGTATTGGTTCTTCACAGAGTAGTCAGTCTATCAATTGCTCTCCAAGACCAACAGATAGTTGTTTGATTTCTAGTTCAGAGATGGTAAGTTATTCTTGGTTTACTTAATAATATATGCTGAATTAATTTCAAATTATGTGTTTTTCTCATAGCTTACTTTTGCATTATGAAAAAATAATTGAGTCAATAAATAGTGGAAAATGAGAAATTAATGTGAACAAAAAATGTTAAAAAGTAAACAGAAATATGTAAAAAAAAATTTTTAAATGTAAAAGAGTTAGAAAAAAACACATTTACAAAAATAGAAAATTCATGCATTATTTAAAAGCCCCTTTTATCAAGATATAGATGTATAATTATACACACCCATATGAGTGTACACTTGACTCTGACTCTTGAACAATGTGGGGATTAGAGGCACCACAAAGTCCAAAATCTGCATATAATGTTTGACTCCCCAAACACTTAACTTCTAGTAGCCTACTGTTGTTAACCAAAAACCTTACCAATAATATAAATAGTCTATTAACATATATTTTGTATGTTATATGTATTACATACTATATTCTTACAACAAAGCAAGCTAAAGAAAAGAAAATGCTATTAAGAAATCATAAGGATGAGAAAATATTTACTATTCATTAATTAGAAGTGGATCCTCATAAAGATCTTGATTGTCATTTTCATGTTGAATAGGCTGAGGAAGGTGGAGTTGGCATTCTGTCTCAGTTTATGGCAGAGGCAGAAGAGATGGAGGAGATGAAGGGGGAGGCAAGAGCAGCAGACACACTTCACTTGGTGTAACTTTATAGAAATGCATTGTTACTTCTAATCTGTCTGACTTTTTTTTTTATTTCTCTAAAATTGTCTCTATGCAGTACCAGTTCTTCCACTGTTTACTTCAGTTTCGGTTCCTTTACCATAGAAGGATCCATGTTTTAAAAGAAGTCAAAAGCAGTCTTGAGGAATTATAACCTTTCTACAAGATTGTTTAATATCAATTTGTTTCTGGCACTGCTTCTTTTATGTCTTCTTTCCTGTTGTTCATAACTGGTTCTTAAGTACTCATCTCCATCAAGTCATCTTCTGTTACTTTCTTAGGTGTGGTGTCTGTTAGCTCTTGAATTTCTTCAAGATCCATTCCTTGAATCCCTTCATTCTTCATCTTTTTTGCTATATTCACAATCTCATTCATGATTTCCTTGATTAGCTCTGCCATAAATCCTGTGACGTCAAGTGCAATATCTGGGTAGTCTTCTCTAACAGGAGTTTATTGTCTTGGGTTTGATGGCTTTCATACCTTTTTATAGCAAGAATGCATCATCAATAGTATAATCCAGCTGTGCTTGGTGGCTCAGCCTGTAATCCCAGCACTTTGGAAGGCTGAGGTGAGTGGATTGCCTGAACCTGAGAGTTCGAGATCTGCCTGGGCAACTTGGTGGGACCTCATCTCTACAATAAATCAAAAAATGTGCCGGGCGTGGTAGCACGTGCCTGTAGTTCTGGCTACTTGGAAGGCTGGGGTGGAAGGATTGCCGGAGCCCAGCAGGTTGAGGCTGTGGTGGCCGGGAGCGTGCCACTGCACCCCAGTCTGGGAGTGAGACTTCAACTCAAAAAAAAAAAAAAAAGTAAATCCTTCCAGACTTTTATAATGTTCTCTCTGTCTGGGTTTTCTTCCATTGTGCTGACAGTATTTTTCATAGAGTACCATGTGTAATGAGCCTTAAATGCCCTTATGAACCCCTGATCTAGAGGCTGAATTAGATACTGGGTTTGCTTCTATTCATTACTAATACATGTACTTTGTGGCATTTCTCCCCAAGAATAGGGTGCTTTTGTCTTCATTTCTCTGCAATGATTTTCTTAATGGCACCTGGGAACTCATCTACTGTCTCTTGGTTGTCAGAAGCTGCTTCTCCTATTATCTTGACTTTTTTTTTTTTTTGAGTTGGAGTCTCACTCTGTCGCCCAGACTGGAGTGCAGTGGCCACTCCTGGCCACCGCAGCCTCGACCCGCTGGGCTCCAGCGATCCTTCCGCCTCAGCCTTCCAAGTAGCCGGAATTACAGGCATGCGCTACCACACCCAGCTGATTTTGTGATTTATTGTAGAGATGAGGTCTTGCTGCCCAGGCGGGTCTCGAACCCACGGGCTCAGGCACTCCACTCACCTCAGCCTCCCAAAGGCGCGGGATTACAGGCTGAGCCACCGAGTCCAGCTTTTTTTTTTTTTTTTTTTTTTTTTTTTAAGCCAAACCTCTTTCTGAAATTATCAAACCACCCTTTGCTGGCATTAAATTCCCAGCTTTAGATCCTTCACTTTCCTTTTGTTTTAAGCTGTCCAACTTCACTGTTTCTTAAATCAGTCTGTAGGTATGCCTTTCTTATAGCAATTCTGCACCCACAAAAAAGCTATATTTTCAATACAAGTTAAAAAGGTATTTCATGAAAAAGACAAGATTTTCACATCTGTGGGTATAGCTGCAGCAGTGGCTTAACTGATTTCTCTTTCTTCCTTCTTTTCTTTTCTTTTTTTTTTAAAGAACTATTCTTATATTTAACTTTTTAAAGTGTATTTGTAAACCCATCCAAATGAGGTCTTAGCAAGAAAAGAACAGTCCTTCAATAGCATGTTCTCAGTACTAGATTACAAAGTTCTCCATTTGTTAAACAATTCCTTTATCTGAAAGAAAACGGCAAATAGTGCATCTCTAAAGAATCTTTCTTAGATTTGCCTTTTAAATATGTATGTAAACATGTCATAATAAGTACTTATGAACAAAGGTGTAAGAAATATCATTAACATGTTCTGAACAGTAGATTCCAGAGTTATCTATTTGTTAAACAGTTCCATTCTCTGAAACAATACAGCTCTAACTGTATCTCTAAAGAGTCATGCTTAGATTTACCTTTTATTTTTTATTGATACATAATATTTGTACATATCTATGGGCTACATGTGATATTTTGTTACATGCATAGAATGCGTAATAATAAGATATTTAGGATACCCATCACCTTGAGTATTTATTATTTCCATGTGTTGGGCACATTTCAAAGTCTTGTCTACTAGCTATTTTGAAACATACAACACATTGTTGTCCACTAGTCACCCTACTGCTGTTGAACATTATAACTTATTTCTTCTATATAACTGTACCTTACATACAATACATATATAACCAACCTCTCTTCATTCCCCCACTCCCAACACCCACACCCTTCTCAGTCTCTGGCATCTTTCATTCTACTCTTTACTTCCATGAGATCAAATTTTTCAGCTCGCACATATGAGCGAGAAAACATGATATTTGTCTCTCTGTGCATGGTCCTTATGCTGGTTTCATTTATTTTGAAATGCCAAGTAACTTCAACTGCAGACATCAATCTAACAGTGCATAGTGAACATTTCAGCTTTTTCTTGTAATACCAGGAGTTTTCCCTGTTTTTTGGTAGCACTTCCAATACCATTAATGGTGCTTTGAATGGGTTCACTAGTGTCATTCAGTGTTTACAGTCTTGCACTAAATGATGAAAATATGTGAGAACTGTAAGAGCTCACTTTTTACTGAAATATTCAATTTACTGGAAAGATGAACTGCTCACATGGAGATGATGAGCATAACACGTCCTTTTAGGCAGATTCTCAAAACTTTTGATCTCACCACAGTAGCAACAGGGGGTGACTATGAAATTATTATAGTAGTATATATAGTATGTGCTGCAGTTAGCTGTATACAGTATTAATACTGCATAATTATGTTTATTTCCATTTTTCTTGATTGCAAATGGTGCTGTTATGGTTTGTAGGTGTTTGTGTGCATAAGTTTTGATAAGTTTTAACTTTTTATAATAAATGCTTGCATATTTTATGGTAGTAAATGATAAAATAAGACTGGTGTCTACATATATTTTATGTATTCATGATATACCTAACATTTTCATCATTTAAAAAAATTTCTAGGCAGCATGGTTTGTCTGTGAGTTTTTCAAATTGTTGGAAATCTCCAAAAATTTTTCCAACATATTTATTGAAAAAATATACATAAAAGTGAACCTGTACAGTTCAAACCCATGTTTTTCAAGGGTCAGTTGTATTATATATATACATGATATATATGTCATGCATAAAAACATGGATATATATATGTATATAATAGATAAATTGTATTTCTTTTAAAAGGCTTTTTAAAGGACTCACTCATAATACCTGGAAACATAAAACACCTAAGAATATATTTAAAAAGAAAGTCTCCTGGCTTAGATGAAGAAAACTAAAATGTTATTGAAGATTGAAATCTGAATAATTGGAGTGACATATTTTATTCTGCAGGAGAATGTTACATTCTGATAAATCCCATGTTTAAATGAATTTCTCCTCCATTCACTGTTTCATTCATTTCATCTGCCTTTTTTGTCTAATACACCATCCAGGCCACTCTTGCTGAGGACACCAGTGCCTTCCATGTTGCCAAATGTATTGAACACTTTTCAGTCTTTATCTTACAACTCCTAAGATTGGTAGAGATGATTCTTTTCTTTTTCTTTTCCTTTTTTTTTTTTTGAGTTGGAGTCTCACTGTTGGCCAGGTTGGAATGCAGTGGCATGGTCAGGTGATTCTTCCACCTCAGCCTTCCAGGTAACTGGAACCACATTTGTACACCATCACGCCCAGCTAATTTTTTGATTTGTTGTAGAGATGAAGTTGCCCAGGCTGGCCTTTGCCCCCACCTCACAAAGTGCTGAGATCATAGGCATGAGCCACCACAACCAGTCTATTTTCTTTTTTAAAACTTTTTTTTTTTTTGAGTTGGAGTCTCCCTCTGTCACCCAGGCTGGAGGATGGTGGCATGTTCCTGGCCACTGGAGCCTCGACCTGCTGGGCTCAGGCGATCCTTCCGCCTCAGCCTTCCAAGTAGCTGGAATGACAGGCACGTGCCACCATGCCTGGCTAATTTTTTTTTTTTTTTTAATTTGTTGTAGAGATGAGGTCTCACCATGTTGCCCAGGCTGGTCTTGAACCTACGTGCTCAGGCAGTCCTCTCACCTTGGCCTCCCAAAGTGCTGGGATTATAGGTGTGAGCCACTGCGCCCAGCTTTTAAAACATTTTAATCTCTTTGATTTTTTTTTAACCTTTGTTTTCTTCATATTTCTCTGAATGCTACTTTATGTCTTTTTCCTTTATCTGTCAGCCTATTGTAAATAGGGTTATTTTTAGGGTTCAATACAGGACCCACTTCTGTTAACCTACACTCTAAACCCTAGATAGTGTTATTCACTCTAATCACTTTTTAAACTGTTTTGATGATGACAGTTCCAACTTCATGAGTTTCGTTTCAATTTTTATTTGGATTTCTAGTTTCCTACAAAACACTTCTTCTTGGGTATTTCACAAAATCTCCATTGGTCTTGATCTTTATTTAGATTTCCAGTTTCCTACTGAACACATCTTGTTGGATATTTCACAAAATCTCCATTTCTTCACACCTCAAACTGAATACTCCCTGGCCTTCTCCCCAAATCAGTTTGTCTGATATTTCCTATAGCAGTGATAACCTTTTCTATCCACCCAAGTGATCATGTCAGAAAGTTAGTGATTAACTATGTCATTTATTTTTCTGTAACATCTCCCTCCCTTAATCACATACATTCTATTGCTTCCTCCAATCATTTTTACCTTCAAAATAAACTGCAAATTTACCTACTTCTCTCAACCTCTGGTGTCAATACCATGCTCTAAGTTACTGTTGTGGTTGTTTCCTAAGAAATCTGTCTACTTTCTTGCCCCATTTTCTTGTCTAGTCGAAAACTATCATGATCTTTTGCAAACATACATTGAATCATGTTATTTCCATGTATAACTATTGATTGAATTCCTATTTTACTTTAGTATGTAAACACATCACAGTGGCCATCAGCCATGTGTGATCTCCTATTAATGTTTCTTCTAGTCTTCTCTTACACTATTCCATACATACTAACATTTAATTTCCTTTAGCTTCTAAGTGTCTTTTTTGTTTCAGATCTTTATACATTGTTTCCTCTACCTTATTCTTACTCATCCTTTATGTCATTTATTCAAAAAGTCTCTCTCTGGCTCCCAGTTAAATTAGGCTCTTTAGTTATCACTTCAAGTGCCTCATACTTGTTCTTCATAACACTTTTCTCAGTTTATAATTATATGTGCATGTATATGATTATTTGACTAAAGTCATCTCTGCCCCTTAGACTGTGTTCTCCAAGAGGGCAGCAACCATTCTGCAACACTCACACTGCAGATGCTAAGTGAATAATTGTTTCTTGAAGAAATAAATGTATTGAGCTTGCTTTCTCTAATTTGTGCTTAGCCAGTTTTAATGCTATTTCTTGCACTTACTTTTGCTATTTCAGTGTTCATCAACTAAGGCATATATCCCTTTTCAGTTTTTTATATTAACTTTGCATTTTTAGCTTGAATAATCAATACTTTTAATAAGATTTTCATTAAAATAATATTTGTATTAGTTAATAATTAAAATATAAATTTTTCTTGAAACTTAAATATTCAAGCTTAGAAAATTGAAATCTAGGCCTATTAAAAGTTCATAAAGTTTGACTTTTTAGATAACAGTTGAGATATGTATTGCCATTTAACTTTTCTCTATTTGATTTTCTATTAGCTGATACTGTCAAGTTATGTTATCTCCTTTAGATATGTTATATCTTTCATGGGACTGAACCCATTAAAAGTACATAATTAGGTTTTGTTTTTACTTAATGAATCTGTGAATGAATAACTGAACAAATTATATGTATTAACTGTTTCATTAAAAGATATTACTTTTACTCCACTCTTTAAGTAGTTAAAGAATATGTTGTATATCATTTCTTCTGTGTGAAAGGTTAGAGGGATGATGTAATTCATGATTATAGGGACTGATAAAATACAAAATTTCCTTTTTCCTTTTTAGTATAAGGATTATTATTTTGTTCTTGCTATTTTAAAATTCATAACCTCTTGGGAGGCATGATAGATTACTGTCTGAAGAATCTTTGATGAATTACCTGTTTTGATTTGTAACCTGTCCAAGTGTCTTCTGTATTTGGAAATTTTCCATACTGGTAATTTTTTTAAAAGTCTACTTTGAAATGATTGAATTTAAACATTATTACAGTAAGATTATTATTTTTTTTAGCCACCTGAAAAGGAAGATCAAATATCACGGCAAATTGAAGATTCAAATATGATATCCATTAAAACCAAAGAAACAACTAGTAATTTTTATCTTGAAAGGATGGAAAAATTTTCAGGTGATAGTATTGTTAAAAACAATGCCAAAATTCACCAACAGGATGAGAATTTTCATCAGTTATTAATGAAAAATAATACAGATTGGTTTCCACAGTCTCAGTGCCATTCAGCACACATACTGCATAACAAAACCAGTAATAACTGCATTCTGCAGGTTGATGCAGGGGTACAAACAGCGAGTGAACCTGCAATGGGAGAAAAATTAGATGCTGCCATACAGTGTGATATAATTTCAAGATGTACATGTAGAAGTGATGATTTTCTTTGCAATATTGAAAAGTACAATGAAAATATTAAGACAGATACCACTGGAGGGCAGAAAATCCTTAAGAACAACTAACATTCTAAAATCTCTGTCTAGGATATAGCATTTCACTTGTCTTTGGAAAGTAATAGTAAATGTTCAGAATTTCATTAATGTAATAAGGAAAGAGAAAATGGAGCTCAGCATAAGGAGAAAATATTCAGAAAGTATATTTATCATTCATTTTAATGTTATTAATTTATGCATTTAAATTTTTATACGGTCATTTAACAGCTTTGGTATACCTTCAGATTTTTAGAAAATAAAATATTTGTAAATTTATTATTTATTCTTATGTTATTATTCACTAAATTTTAATGATATGCTGTTATTTATGGATTGAAAATATGCTTAATTGCATCCTTCCTTGTTACATTTATTTTAAAATTTAGTGCAGTTGCCTCTTCTGGCAAAAATGTTCTCTTTCAAGATTTTAAGGCAGAAAAAAATGCCAATTAACATCCAATGTGTTTTGTTAAAATTAACAAAGTTAAAGAATTTCTTTAGCTACTTCTTTTAAAAATTATAGTCCCATTTTTAAATTCTAGCATTCACTTTTTTATTAAATGTATCTTCAGTTTTGTTTGAATGACACTTTTGCTGCTTGTATTAATTCAAAGGAAAATGTTTTTCTCTTTAGGATTAGAGATGTTTTAATGCTTTCATAAGAAAGAATTGTTTGAAATTCAAAAAGGATTTATTTTACTAATTTTAATGTTTCTAAGATTTTTTTCATAAATATAGTAAGATTTCTCATATATAAAATAAAGGCTTTGTTTCTCACACAATATTTATTTTGTGTCAAGATTTTAAATATTTGTATTCTAAAACTGTATATATTACAAAGTACACAGCAGAGAGCATTCTGATATCTAACTGAACCCCAAATAAAATTGTTAGGGATTTCTGTACCTTTAAAGAAAATGGTTATTCAATATTGCATTTTTATTTACAGACATATCAAACAGAAGCTTAAATAGTAGCAATCTTCAGATTTATAGCTGATTTTAGAAAGGTTTTTTTTTTTTTTGCTGCCTCAGAGAGCACAATGAACTCTTAAGTAATTTGCTTAAGGTATAATGATCAACTCATAAAAGAGGAATACAGTTATCTGATGTATGTAAATGTATAATTTTTCAAAAGGTCAGATTTTTATCCTGATATTAAATGAACAGTATTTCATTACAGACTGATTATCTTGAGCATTGTTTTGCAAAAGTATGGCATTTTATAGCAGTGAAGACTGATACATGGAAAAAGAAGACCCAAATGGATGAAATTAGAATAAGCTTCACCTATGACTCTTGAGTTGGTTCAAATATCAAATAAACTGATTTTTTTCCAAATATGAATCAAAGTCTAATATTATTGAAAGTACATTAATTACAAAAGCCCATATCCAGTTCTATTTTTATCACCATCATGATGTAGTAGTTAAGCTTAGTAAGCTGAAGAACTTCAAAACTTTTTGATTGTAATAACCACACACACAGCAGGAGCAGAGTAAGGTGCAGTACAGTAAAAATTTTAATCTTTCTCCAAAAGAGTTCCTTTCTTTGCCTTTAACTTCTTGGAGGTAACCCTAAAGGCCTTGGCATGTTGTGGCTGATGCATGTCTTTTTTTGTCTGGGAACCTTGGGCCAACCTGGATAGTAACAATGTGATTTAGGTTGGAGACTTTGAGTAAAACAATAACAGCTTGACTTCCTAAGGGGCCAGAAACTGATATCAGCCACATTAGCAGTCAACCACACCATTGTAAATGGAACTTCAGTAAAGACTCTTGACACCAAGACTCAGGTAAGCGTCCCTGGTTGACAGTACTTCCTGTGAATTGTCACAGTCATTGCCAGAAAAGTAATACTGCCCATGATTCCAGGAGAGATGATAATTGGAAGTTCTACATTGTTACTTTCCTAGACTCTGTCCTATGGGTTTCTTTCCTTGATTCAATTTAATCTGTATCCTTACCCTGTAATAAATTATGACTGCAAGTATCTTTCAATGAATTATATGAGCCCTTCTAATGAATTATCAAATATGAGGGTGATCTTGGAACCCATGAACTTGCAGTTGATATCAGAAGTAAGGACAGTTTTGTGAATTGTTCTTTAATTTCACAGTTGCTATCACTGGTGTTTTAAAGGAGATAAATATATTTGGAATAAAACATGAGCATGAATTTACAAAATAAGACATGTAATAGATTATATACTTCTCAAAATACATTACTGGCTTGGATTTTCTTAGTAAAACTGATAAAAATATAAATCAAAAGCAATTGAAGCAAACATTGTTTTCATTCCTTATTTATAATTTAAGGTTTATAAAGCAAAGTAAATCCTAGCTAAGTTCTTTCCAGATGAAACAAAATAGAAACTTTATTCTGTGCACATTTGTAGTGTAAACTGCCAATCACAGTGACTTCAAATAAGATAGTGTACATTTTTACTAGCGAATGCTATACAATACAGGGCTGGAGTTGGTGTTTAACTAGATTTGTGAAACTGCATTGTTTTGGTCAGCATCAACTAGAAAGTTGTCATCTGTAATAACATGAGGCTATCTTTAAGGGTAGTTCTATGTAATTTATTTTTATAGCACTTATCACATCAAAATTTATCTGTAATTTTTTGGTTAATGTTTATTTTCCCCCATGACATCATAACAGTGTAGCGAATGCTGTCGGCACTGTTCTCTCATTTCCTGGACATGCCCCATTTTCACACATGTCAACCTGATTTCCAGCTGCCAGCACCTGACTTACTTCCTGAGGGGTTTCTCTTGGCTGTAGGCTGGAAGTATCAGAGAATTAATGTTGTTTGAGAGCAGTCTTTAAACAATAACTGATATGAGTTGGTGAATAAATACTCCAGTTCCTGTGCTTCTTGGACAGGATAACTCTTTTGGAAGTGTGTCCTACACCACTGCTTACTCAAAGTGTGGTCCATTGAACAGTAATATCAACATCACTATTGGTTGAGAACTGGCTAGAAATACAAATTCTTGGGACCCACCCCCAGACTATTGGATCAGAATCTTATGGATTAGGGTCTAGGAATCTGTTTAAGCAGGTGATGTTTATGGATCTATAGTTGGAAAAACACTATACTTCCAGAGTTCCTCTGCTTCAGTTGCTCACAGTGGTGACTTGCTTAATAATGAATACTTTATCTTCCTTCATTTTCTGTCTGACTCACCTCTCACTTCCATGTAAGCATTTGTTGAGATCATAACCCAGACAAACTATATGTACTTGAATCCTTGCTACATAGTTTGCTTTTGGAACAAATCAAGACAGGCAGGGATTATGAAAAATGAATGTGTGCACTATATTTATAGGTGTAACTTAAGGTTACCTTGTTAATTTTTGTAGTTTTACAATTCCCTAGACTCAGATTTCCATTTCTGCCACCTGCTGAAGACTTACTATATGATACAGGTAAAGCATATTAAATACAGGTAAAGAGAGAATTCGTGAAGTATACATAAAATAAGTTATCCAGAATGCCAGAAGAGAAAAAAAAAAAAAGAAAACAAGAGAGGGTGAGTTAAACAATAAGGAGAACAAAGTAAATTTTAACATATGTTTAATTGAAGTATCAATAATATAGGAGAAAGAAAATGTGATAAAGGCATAATTTGAAGATCTAGTGGCTCATAATTTTCCAGAACTGATTAATCATATAATCCACAGATTCAAGAAGGCCAGCAATTTCCAAGTAGGATAAAAAAATATGCAATCTATATCCTAAACCCAACATAATGAAGTAGGAGAACCTCAAAGTCAAATGATTTTTGAAAGCTATTGAAGAGAAATAGACTATTCCTGGAAATGGTAGCTACAGTGTCAGATAACTTAATAAAACTTATAGGCCAGGCTTGGTGGCTCACCCTGTAATCCCAGCGCTTTGGGAGGCCAAGGTAAGTGGATTGCCTGAGCCCGCGGGTTCGAGACCCACCTGGGCAACTTGGCGAGACCTCATCTCTACAATAAATCAAAAATTAGCCGGGCGTGGTAGTGCACGCCTGTAGTTCCAGCTTCTTAGAAGGTTGAGGCGGAAGGATCGCCAGAAGCCAGGAGGTCGAGGCTGCGGTGGCCAAGAGCGTGCCACTGCACTCCAGTCTGGGCGACAGAGTGAGACTCCAACTAATAAAAAAAGGAAATTATGAAAACCAAAAGACAGTGTAATAATACCTTTCAAATGCTGAAAGAAAATAATTGTCATTCCAAAATTGTGTTTCCAGCCCTAAAGTTGCAACAATGTTTGAAATCACAAAACTAGCCACTAATAGGACTAAGGAACCACTACTGCAAGGTTTGGTGATTTATATTTAAGATCTTTTGTAAGTTCTTTCCTTTAACTGTAGGAAAGGCTTTTTCTGATTTTTTTTCCACTGTTTGCTCTTCAGCACATGTGCTTAAAGACTTTGCAGCATTTGAAATTGTTTCGTCCACAAGTATTTTATTTTTACTTTTTAAAATTTTTGCAGCGTTGGTATGCAATATGTATTCCTTTACACTTTTTGCTCATGCTTTTTCATTTCTTTCCAAATGCTTTCTTTCAAGCTTCTCTTTAATATTTAAAAGTTTCCTTTTGCATGTACTGCTTGATGTTTTTGAAGACACTTAGACATGCTTAGGATGTTAAATAACTGCATTTATATAGGTATAGTTTATAAGAGGAGGAACCCAAATGAAACTGGAATTATCTTTTGAAGGACAGGCCCCTCCAAAGTACACTTGGAATTTGTTCCTCTGGAACAAACGGTCAACCAAAGTTTTTATATAGTTTTGAGAAGATTGCGTCACAATTTGTGGAGGAAACATCCTGACTTGTGGCAAACAGGTGACTGACTCTTCACACCAAGCTGAGTGTCCAGTTTTTGACCAAAAATGTCATGAACCCCATGCCCCACCCTCTCTAATCACCCTATCTCTCACCTCAAGTGATTTTGTTGTTGTTGTTCCCCTGAATGAAAAAAGTCCTCAAAGGAAAACCTTTTGCCGATGTGAAACAAAAGGAAGCACAAAA